AATGCGGCGTAGGCTGCTTTCAATGCGGTACACAATCGGTACATAGTGCAAGTCGACAGTAGAGGGCAGAAGCAAGCAGAGCGAATCGAGCGAACACAGTGGCCCAGCTGACATATGATTTGCATTACATTACTTTCCAATTTTTTATTTTATAACCACGTTTCTGGATGAATCTAAACAATATTTTCGATTATTGTAATTTAGAAGATGCTTACCAATTGTACGTTGGCAGATTTAGTGAAAAGTGTCTGTGTACGGAGACAAATATGTTAGAAAATGTTTGTTTACCTATTTCACGCCATTCAAACCAGTCAAAGTTGCTTTTGCTGTGGCGCATTGAAATCAGCCTATGCCGCATTGGGCCTATATTTGACAGTTCAACTTACCTTTTTTTCTTAAAGTTTCATTTTTACACTCACTATTATTATTTTCTCATTCCTTTAACTTGCATATTTCTGCACTGACACTAATTATTTCCTCGTGTCACGTATTTTCGTTTTTTTAAAGCTTAAAACTGGCACCGCATTGGGACCCCTTGATTTCCGTATTCACCACGACACCCAATGCGGTAATTCGCGAATACCGCATTGGCAGGTTGGCACTCGCAGTGCGGAATCCCGTACCTTCCAACACTTTTTTTTACAGGGTGGTTAGATATTTTGGCACACCCACCCCCTTCACCATTCCGTACCACTTATTATACCTTGACTTACCTATCTTTTCCCACCTCTCTTCTGAATCTTTTCCCTTCCATCCCTCTTCCATTTCATACCATCCTTTTCCTTCTCTACTCGCCTCCTTCATCACCCCTTTTCTTTCAGCCTCCCATTTCGACATCTCTTTCGCCCCCCTTTCCTCCCTTATTACAATAAGCTCCCTACACCGTTGAGTCCACTGATTTCCCCTGCCCTGCTTAAATTTCTCTTCCAATCCCCACGCCCTCCTCCTCTGTCTTATCAACATTTTTTCCCTACCTAATTCTTCCCTGAGCATATACCCCGGACAACTTCTGCTTACCCCCATTGTCCATCTCAGATACCTCTCACTCATACTCTCCACTTTCTTTCTTTCTTTCCACCCCCATATTTCTACCCCATAACATATCCCCCATACTTGACCCAAAATCTTGCCCGCTTTTTCCAGTCTTCTACTCACATGCAGCTCTAAACTTCCATTCGATTTAAACCAAAAACCCAAATAACAAAATTCATCCACTTCCTCTACATTCTTTCCATTCAACTTCCAAACCTCAACCTCTTCACTCTTCCTATTCCTAAATCTCATAACCTTTGTTTTCTCTACATTCACCCACAGATCCTTTCCCCTTACATACTTTTCGAACTCTCTCATCAACAATCTTATTCCACTTTCACACTCTGCCAACAACACTATGTCGTCGGCGTACGCCATCGAATAAATTCTCCCCTTTCCCAAAACCACCCCTCCCTTCCCTCTTTCGCTCAGTTTCTCCTCCAAATCCGCCATCAATAGACTAAAGAGAATTGGACTCAACGGACAACCTTGCATTAAGCCCCTCCCCATCCAGAAAATATCTCCGAAGTCTTCCCCAATTCTAACCCTCGCCTTCACATCCTCGTACAGTTCCTTAATCCGCTCAATGAGACCTCTTTCCACCCCTCTTTCCCGCAGCGTTTTCCAAAGCACTTCCCTGTTAACTGACGGAAACGCCGCCTTAAAGTCGACGAACAGAGCCACCAACTTCCCCTTCTTTTTTCCTAATTCCTTCCCCACCAGAAAATTTAGAGAGTATATGTGGTCCATAGTGCCCATCCCTTTACGGAATCCTGCCTGATTTTGAGGTATCCCTCCAGCCTTGTCTACACTTTCTTCCAGCCTCCGCCTCAAGATCTCTGCGTAAATCTTGTATCCAACTGGCATTAGAGTGATTCCTCTATATTCCTCCACCTTTCCCACATAGCACAATAGTATGAGGTAAGGTTATGTTGAGTACTAATCGTAAGGCTCAATGAACCTTATGACATAAGGTTACACGATATTGCTGTGGTAGACCTGAGGTGAACTAAAAACTTCCGCCATGGAGGTAAGGTGACATGTTAGAGTGTGGTAAGTATATATGATAAGGCTATGGTAACCTTACACGTTAAGGTTGAGGTAACGTTACACGTTAAGGTTGAGGTAACGTTACTCGTTAAGGTTGAGGTAACGTTACATGTTAAGGTTGAGGTAAGGTTATATGTCAAGGTTGAGGTAAGGTAATTAATAAGTTGTAAGGTTAAGGTAAGGTTGTGATAAGTTTACCAGTTATGGAAAATATTGACAAAATAATTAATAATATAATTAATAAATAAATATTAAATTAAAAAGTTAAGTTTGTTACTCTTCTCTATTTTGGAAACCTGACATGAAGCAGAAAATTTTGAAAACAAATTTGGGGGGACTGGGATTCGAACCCGGGATCGACGCGCATAAACCTAACATCCTAACTAACTGAGCTAAGTGGAGAACTGGTAGCAAGAAAATTAATTTTGCCTTTAAGGAGTTAATCATATTCTTGGTTCACCTTAAAGGCAAAATTGATTTTCCTTCTGACAGTTCTGTACTTAGCTCAGTTAGTTAGAATGATTGGTTTATGCGCGTCGATCCCGGGTTCGAATCCCAGTCCCCCCAAATTTGTTTTCAAAATTTTCTGCTTCATGTCAGGTTTTCAAAATAGAGAAGAGTAACAAACTTAACTTTTTAATTTAATATTTATTTATTAATTAGGGGAATGTAGTCAAGGTTGGCCTACTGTCTAGGTAGGCCACTCGCGTTTTTTTGTCAAGTTCACTAGCGCCACCTACGCGCATTTTTGTCGAAGCTTGTCTTAGTGAAACCTAACTTTTTGTTCAATTACATTTTCGGAAAATCGAAAATTGTGTTTTCTGTGACGTCGGTACAAAAAAAGCTCAAAAAAAGTTTTGTGCATAATGTGAAAAACCATTAATAAAAGATAAAAAACAAATTGAATCGTCAAGGCAAGTATGCAGAAAATTTGTGGGACTCATGGTTGAAAGGAAAACAAAGTAAAAAATCGAATCCCGAAACGTATTTCTTTATGGTTACAACAATTCGGTAATGTTACTTACTGTCAAGGTCGGCCACTATGTGTTTAAAATGCGCAAAGTTGAGGACGAGCTACTTCATTTGCAAAAACTGCAATTCTGTATAACTCATAATATAATTGATCATCTTATTAATATTTTTATTTAATTTTATTAATATTTTAGTGCAAAACTTTTTTTTATTTATATTTATTTTTTTATATTGTTTATTGTTATTATTTTGTTATTTCATTAGGTTACAAACTGTAAACAATAAAGAATCAATTTTCCGTAACTCCAAACATGTTATTTTATTTTTTAACGATTAATGCCCTTTGAATTTTAAACATGGCCGACCTTGACTGTAATGGCCAACCTGGACTACAAATTTTTTTTTTTTTAAATCTTTATAACTTTTTCATTTTTAAACCTGTCAATTTACTTTGTACAGAAAAAATGTTCCTATTAAACAGGACTTTCCAACCATATACTTCAATTGTCCAAATTCATTTTTAAAAAAAAGTTATAAACAAAAGTCAAAAAGGTGGCCGACCTAGACTATGTTCCCCTATATTATTAATTATTTTGTCAATATTTTCCATAACTGGTAAACTTATCACAACCTTACCTTAACCTTACAACTTATTAATTACCTTACCTCAACCTTGACATATAACCTTACCTCAACCTTAACATGTAACGTTACCTCAACCTTAACGAGTAACGTTACCTCAACCTTAACGTGTAAGGTTACCAGAACCTTAACGTGTAAGGTTACATCAACCTTAACGTGTAAGGTTATCTCAACCTTAACGTGTAAGGTTACCATAGCCTTATCATATAACTTACCACACCCTAACATGTAACCTTACCTCCATGGCGGAAGTTTTTAGTTCACCTCAGGTCTACCACAGCAATATCGTGTAACCTTATGAGCCTTACGATTAGTATTCAACATAACGTTACCTCATACTATTGTGCTATGTGGGTTTTCCCTTCCCCTTTCTTAACCAACGGTACGATTACTCCCGTTTTCCATCCCTCCGGCCATCCTTGTGCCTTCCACACCTTATTAATCAATTCCCACATCTCTTTCCTAATTACTTCCCCCCCATACTTTAAACTCTCCGCTTTCATTCCGTCGAAACCCGCTACTTTGTTCCTTTTCATCGCGTCGATTGCATTGTCCACTTCCTCCCTGCTTATATCCTCGCACTCTGCTTCACCTACCACCGTTCTCCTTTCTCCCACCACTCTACCATCTACCCCCCCCCCCACTGAGCTCCTTAAAATACCTAGTCCATTGCCCCATACTTATGCCCTTATCCACCCCTCCTTTTCTTTTCCTTTCTCTATTTATTACTTCCCATTCCCCACCAGGTGGTGCAAAAAAGCCACTTACAGTGCTTTCATAAAACTCTTATAACTTAGACCTTTCATGAGATAAAAAATATTTTCGTCAAGAATTTTCAAGCTTAATAACTAAACTTTCAATAACAATTGGAAATTTGAGAAAAAAAATTTAAATACAGATTTTACAGCATCAAAAGTAAAAATGTGGCTTTTTTACCCACTCTACCCTATAAGTAAAAAATAAACGTTAGATTCTGAACTTTAATTTGATATATATAATTATTATAAATATGTTGACATTATGTAATTACGTTAAAATATAATTATAAAATGTATATGCTATTTAACCAATTAAAACTCGAAGACAAAATTAAATACGTTTTTTAAATAAGAAGAAATAAATAAATTTTTCAAAAAATTCAAACTTTATAGAATATTAATAAAAAATTAATGTAAATAATGAACCTCATGTTGGAGACACGTGAAGTGGTCCATTTCAAGAAAATCACCCATATATTAAATAAATTAATACTGAATATACATTGGAGAATTTTTTAAAATTTCTATAATACATTAATATTATAGAGATGCCGATCGAATGAGGGAAAAACAACAGAAAAAAATGCAGGACCCACCACAGAAACAAACGGCGACATAATTGTAAATAATTTATATAGAAAAATGCTTGACAAAAATACAAATGCATAAAAATTAAGAATTTCCAACATTTCAGCATTAATTACAAAAAAAATATATTGCACGAATGGAATACAATTTTAATTTATCTTTTAAATAATTTCTTCTTCGTTTATTAAACAGTAAACAGTTTAAATTTGAAAATCTATCAAAATTTGTTTGTCTCTCACGACGTATGCAAAATAATGATTAATGTGAATGAAATTATTACGTTTGCAAATTTGACTGGTATTAATTATAGTAATAGGAAAATAAATTATTGATAATATCCTTAAGTAGTTTACTTGTAACTTGTACATTTAATTCTCAGTTACTAAGAAAAATAAACCGAATTCTTCATTAAGATAAAAAGTAAGAAAGTGTATGTATAACCAGCAAATTTGGTTTGTAATAAATAGTTCAAATTTTAAAATGAATTTTTTTTCACGACAATTTAATTCTTCAGGTTTGCCACAAAAATTTGATTTTATTTTTCTCTGATTTCCAGACAGAACTTTGACTTTTTCATTTGTAATACTAGATTTAAATGTCTTTAATTGTAAACAGGGTTCCTACAGAATCTGGAAATCATGGAAATCATGGAAATGGTATGGAATTTTTAAAAGGCTTCTGGAAATCATGGAAAAGGTATGGAATTTTAAAATCGGATTTCTGTAGGAACCCTGTAAAATTATTTGGAATATCAATAGTTTTCTTTAAATAAATATTTAATCATTATTACTATTTTTCCACAGAAATTAAGATTTTAGAGAAATTTCGAATCCTTTGAAATTCAATAATTTACAAGAATTACTACTGTAACTTTTTCAAAATATTTTGCAAAACTTCTTTTCAATTATCATCTGGAATTTGTAAAAAAAATTCTTCTTTAATTTAATTATTTTTAATAATTTTTGAAAAAGTTACTTAAGAATTAAATTATTTATTTAAAGAAACAAAAAGTTCACCAAAAATATTTTTGAAATCCACTTGCATGGCTGACACAGAACCTGGAAATCCTGGAAAACCTGGAAAAGGTATGGAATTGAGAAAAGGGTATGGAAAACCTGGAAATAGAATGGAATTTTAAAATATTTCTGGAATTTCGCCTGTTTTTAAAGATTTTTAACAAAGTTTTAATTTAAAATTGAAAAATTTTTGTGTCATCGCCATATAAAAATCTCTACGAAAGAAAAAATGTTTGGCTACAGTTTTTCAGTAATTAAATAATTGAAAATAAATTCAATTGCAAATCTGTAAAATTCAATTTTTTGTATTATTATTTTTTATATTAAATTATGTTTTTTATATAAAAAAAAATGTTCTGGTATTTAAATTATCGGTTTGTTCATTTTAAAGTACTCAAAAGAAAATTTTTTTTCGTTTATCAGTTTATTAACATTGAATGAGTAAATAAATTTTCAGTGTAAAACAAACATTTTTATTCATTCTATGAATCACTGCACTATAATAATAATAAAAATTTATAAGTAAATAAATCAATATTGTACAAGAAATTTCGCTTCTATTACACAAGAACTTTTGAGTCCGAGTATTAAATAATTTTCTTATAATTCGTTACGAGGGTAACGAGAAATAGGCGGCAATGTAAAGTATTTTTAAAAAATTATTCTCGCAAATTATTCCTTTTTTAATAAACTAACGCTTGACGATGAATATTTTTTTTTCTTTTGATAAATTTTCGACACATATTTCCTTTGTAGTTGCTTATAATTAATTCGATGTCTAAGGATATAAAAATCTTGACAATTTAATTTATAGTTTATTGCATGCCACTCCTGCTATTTATTATTATTATTATTATTGTTTATTATTATTATTTTTATTTTATTAATATTATATTATTACTTGCAGCTTTTTAGCACCATATAATAATTATTGTTCACTGATAATAAATCATGAAAAACATTCGATCACTTGAGCATCTTTAAACGCATAAAAATAAATTTTTCTTTAAGAAGAAAAATTGTGTGAAAAAATTAAATTTTTTAAAAAAATTTCATTGTTTGGATTCAATTATTTTATACGCTTTATTCAACTATTTAATTTACGCCAATTTAATTCTGCTATTATTGAAAAATAAATTTATATTTCGATGAAATTTCGAAAAGAAAACGTGACAAGTCTACTGAAAAAAATATATCACAAAAGTAATTTGGGCAGCTCCATACGAAAAGCAAATGGTGGATCACCGATTTTTCTTAAAGTTTGTAATTTTGTAGTACTTGGGGTACTAAATAACTGTGCCAAACAGTTTTGCAAAAAAAAATTTTTTTTGCAAGATATTTAGATTTGAAAAATCGGAAACTGAAAAAAATGACTTTTTTTGAGAATTTTTATTTCGAAAACTATTGATTCTACAAGAAAAAGTCATTTATTCAAAATTGTAGAGAAAATGCCAATTTTTTATAATATTAAAAAAAAGTTAAGAAAAATTAATTTTTCAATAATTTGTTCAAACAATAATTTTTTATTGTTAAAAAAAAGAGCAAAGGACATCATGGAATATTCTAGAAAAATTATTTTCTCAAAATTTGAACCTTCCTTAATAAGTGGTTAAATTTTTAAAGAAGTGATTTTTGGTGTTTTTGAGAAAAAAATTTTTGAAGTTTGCACTACGAGTTTTTGTGCGTTGCGCTAACTAAGCAGCGCCTATATCAGTGTATTTTAAAAGATAATATGATCTTTACTGCTCGCCCCTAATACATTTATTAATTATATAAGTATATATATTATTATTATAAACAGTTTAACAATATATTTTTAACTTTTTTATAAACATTATTTTCCTTTTTTTAACCCATTAATGCCCATGGGCACAGGAACGCAGGTATAAAAAGTAACTATTGAGATCCTGGCATAGGGTCTAATAATAATTTTTAACGTTAAAAATTTAAAAAAAAATTTTTTTTAAACAATTTGTTATAAACAAATGAAGAAAAATTGATTTTCATAAAAAACTGATAGCGCCATTCGATTCGACGCAAAAACTACTACGAGAACGTATATTACATAATTTTTAAAAAAAGAGATATTGTTGAAAAAATGTTATAAACAATTAGCTTGCATTTATACTGTATGAGATAGAAGGATCGTTTTTCAGGTAAAAATTTTGTTTAAAAAATTTTTGACGTCAAAAACTCTCCTAATTAAACTAATTTTGTTTAAAAAAATTATTAACTTCAAAAACAATCCTTCTATCTCGTACAGAATAAATGCAGGCTAATTGTTTATAACATTTGTTAGAAATATTCAAATTGAGCCTCCCTTTTTATTACTTGTTTTATTTTATATCTGGTGGTGCCATCTGCTTCCGCTATATTTTTGTTTAATCGCCTGTTACGGCGTCTTTCTTTTTATTCGTTCAGTTCTCATAGAGACGCTTGAGACAATAGTACATTTTTGTATCTAATTAATCTTTTTCGCTCATTATTAATAAATCTGTGACTTTACTTAAAACTGTGAATCTTTGGTCTTATTTCGTGATCCCTGGAACCTCGTTAATAACATTTTTACAACAATATGTCTTTTTTTTTAAATTATGTAATATACGTTCTCGTAGTAGTTTTTTGCGTCGAATCGAATGGCGCTATCAGTTTTTTATGAAAATCAATTTTTCTTCATTTGTTTATACCAATTGTATAAAAAAAATTTTTTTTTTTAATTTTTAAAGTCAAAAATTATCATTAGACCCTATGCCAGGATCTCAATAGTTACTTTTTATACCTGCGTTCCTGTGCCCATGGGCATTAACCCGGCGAGTATGTGGTTGGGCATGTCATGCCCCACATTTACTTAAATCCTTTTAAATCCTAAAATTTCCACTGTAACGTTTTGAAACTTCGAGTAGCTGAAGTTATGGGTTCATAAGAGAAGATGATGGTATGGTGATAGTGTTATGTAAATTATATTTTAAATTACTTGGACGTAAACGTCAATTTTGCATATTTTTGGCGAATTTTTTTTTCCTAATTTCTACTAAATTAATGACAACTGAATTGAGATATATTCTAAAAAGCAGTATTATGCTCCTCATTCACTAATATTTAAAGTCCTGCCTTTATAAAAGTGCAAATTTGATTTTATAAAAGTTTTAAGTTTTCATTGTTTTATTTAATCATATGATAAATCTTATGACAAAGAGTTGATTTTATCTTTATAAATAAATAAATAATTAAGGAAATATATTTTATTACATGCCTTTTTATAATATAATACCAGAAATTAACTTAATATAGCTATATGTAACATTTATAAGCAATTTTACATTTTGGGCATGTCATGCCCACCACATAGTCGGTGTAACAGTTTCCCGCCACATACTCGCCGGGTTAATGGGTTAAAAAAAGGAAAATAATGTTTATAAAAAAGTAAAAAAGTAAAAAAAAAGTAAAGTAAAAGTATATTGTTAAACTGTTTATAATAAAATATATACGTATATAATTAATAAATGTATTAGGGGCGAGCAGTAAAGATCATATTATCTTTTAAAATACACTGATATAGGCGCTGCTTAGTTAGCGCAACGCACAAAAACTCGTAGTGCAAACTTCAAAAATTTTTTTCTCAAAAACACCAAAAATCACTTCTTTAAAAATTTAACCACTTATTAAGGAAGGTTCAAATTTTGAGAAAATAATTTTTCTAGAATATTCCATGATGTCCTTTGCTCTTTTTTTTAACAATAAAAAATTATTGTTTAAACAAATTATTGAAAAATTAATTTTTCTTAACTTTTTTTTTAATATTATAAAAAATTGGCACTTTCTCTACAATTTTGAATAAATGACTTTTTCTTGTAGAATCAATAGTTTTCGAAATAAAAATTCTCAAAAAAAGTCATTTTTTTCAGTTTCCGATTTTTCAAATCTAAATATCTTGCAAAAAAAAATTTTTTTTTGCAAAATTGTTTGGTACAGTTATTTAGTACCCCAAGTACTACAAAATTACAAACTTTAGGAAAAATCGGTGATCCACCATTTGCTTTTCGTATGGAGCTGCCCATTTACTTGTCACATCGTAATTGTTCAACGTTATTTAACGACAAAGCTTAAAATTAATCTCTTCTAAAACAGAACAGAAAAAAACACCACGTCTCCAGAAAAAGAAAGAAGTCGAAAAAAATGTAACTTAATTTTTCCCGGACGGAAGTGAATAAAAATTCGATCTTAAATGGAATGAAATTGTGCAGTAAAATCTTGGGAATCATTAATATTCTTATAATTGTAAGCTAAATCACAGTTAAAATCATTGACATTGAAAGTCCATTGAATCATAATAGTAATTATTATTATTTTTAGTTTCCTCGTTGTCCAAGAAACTATTTACAATAGTTGCAAAATAGACAAAAACGAATTTAAATTGGGAATTGAACCTACAAAGCGGGATTTTTTAAATTATTTAATCATTATTACAAAATGTTTAGATAATTTTTAAAAATACTAATTAATATTGAAAGTAGATCGAGAATATTTTTCTTTTAAATAAACAAGATTTTACGTTAATTTTGGAATGATTTCTGATAAATTGAAAAAAACGACGAATGGAAAAGAATGTGAAAATTTTCCTACAGTTTGATTATTTTTTTTTCATTTTGTACGAAACTAAAGATTCAAGGAGCAAATGGTGCAGGTTTGTGCAATACAATGTGCATGAAAATGCGGAGAATGCGAAGACGGAGACGGCGGTGGTGGCGGTGGTGGCATATAGAGCCATCCGGAATCTGCTGACCAAACCGATGCTCCTGACGGTGATGATACCGTGAGCAATGATCTCGATCCACCGGTTACCGGAACGTGAGAAGGCGGTCCTCCCTCTACTCACATTACCTGAAAATAATAATAATTTTTTTTTTACAGATTTAAAATTGATTTTTTTAACTAATTTAATTTTTTAAAAACTATCGAGAAAAAATTATTTTTTATGAATTATCTTGGAATAATTTTTTATTTAAAAATTAAAAAAATAATTGAATTTTATGAAATTTGTATTTAAATTTTTTTTATAAATAATATAAATAAGTAGCAAATGTCACGCCCGCCAAACGAAGTATTTAATTTACTATTATTATTACTCAAAAGAAATTCGATTATCTTTACAAAATTTCAATAAAAAATTCTTCGAAAAATTTATGAAAAATTACAAAAATGTTATCTTTTGAAATTATTGTAGGTAACAGCTAAAAAAACGCACGTGTAGTTTCTCCTAGTATCAATAGATGATTAATAAATAAAAAAACAAAATTTTGTGCAAAAATTATGATTATAAAATAAAAATTATGCCTATTTTTTCGTTTAGTAAGAAAAATGAATTTCGTTAAAAATTGAAATTTACAAAATATTTATCACTGCTTTGCTAACTTTGCATAAAATTTTATAAGTACTTGTGCCTTCAAAAAATGAATTACTTAATTAAAGTTTTTTGAAATGTTACTTCAGTTGTACTTTACGAATGATTCAATCACATTGTTACGACAAATTCCTGTTACAAAGAACAAAAAAACTAAAAGAATGTGGGACCAAAAGTTTGGAATGCTTTGCTAACTTTGCACAAAATTTCATTTTTAAGCCTCCCAATAATAAAAATAGATAGATAGACTGGACAGAATACGACGATTATTATAGTTAAGGGAGTATTCTGGTCTATAGGCCTCAATTTCAGGCGTTTTTCCGAGTAGAATAAAAAAGAAAGTTTAACATTTTTAGTATTTACTTTTCTTGCATAAGTTGTTTATTAATGTTTAAAGAGTACAGAAAAAAATTAGGAAACAAAATAATAAAAAAATTTAAAAGTTATAAACTGATAAAGTGGGGACTGAAAAACAGAAAGTGCGTACTGGTTGACAGTGTGGAGACTTTTGTAATGCTCTAAAACAAAAAACTCAAAGAAATTCTTGATTATTAAAGGCTTCGCTATGGTCGGTACCTTGGAAAAGAAAAAATAAAATTTTTTAGCAAAATGGCGGCGATTTAAAAAAAAATTGTGTTTTTTGATTCTGTTTTTTAATTTTTTTGAATTTTTTAAAAATAATAAAAAAAAATATTTTTCAAAATCCAAGGTTCCGACCATAAAGAGATATACAAAGAACATTTCTGCAAAATTTGAAGTAAATTGGTTGAGTAGATTTTGAGTTATCGTGTCAACAAGAATTTTTTTCAATTCCCACTTCACCAGTTCATAACTTTTAAAATTTTTGATTATTTTTTTTCCTAATTTTTTTCTGTATTCTTTGAACATTAATAAACAACTTGCAAAAAAAGTAAATATTAAAAATGTTAAACTTTCTTTTTTATCCCACTCGGAAAAACGCCTTAAAATTGAGGCCTCTAGACCAGAATACCCCCTTAAATTAATAATAATTATATAATAAAAAAAAAGAAATGTAATATTATCTATCAAAGCATATAAAAAATACAAAAGCATGAATTTTGTTAAAAAATCGTTATTTTATATTTTATTTTCTATCAAAACATATAAAAAACAAAAGAATAACCATGACTAACTTCAGGTGTGGACAGAATGAAAGAAAGAATAAGACGAATATTTATAGTTAATATCAAGAAAATAATTCCATAAAATTGTTTTTATAGTAATTTATTGTGAAGAATTCAATAGCTAATATTTCTTCTTTCTTTTTTTGAATTTCTATTTGTCCTAAAAATTGGTAGATTTTGAAATCCATGCGTCATTTTGTAGAAAATATGTTTTTGTATTCATAAAAAAATAGATTTTTACTAATTTTGAATAACTTTTTATTTTTTCAAACACTGTTTTTATGCTAAAAATGATAAAAAATACTATTGTTTATTTATTTATTCATACACGAAATAATTGTTATTCAATTTTTTTTATTTGAAAATGTATTTCTCTAACTAATTTCAAATCGAGAGTATTTTTCTTAAATAAACAAGATTTCACGTTAATTCTGGAATGATTTCTCTATCGAAGTACAAATCATAATTTTTTATTTTAAAAAATAAAAAATATTACATATATATTTATATATATTTTTTAATAAAAAAAAATATATTTAAAAAAAATAAATTATGATCTGAAATTGGTTATAAAAATAAAAAAATTGAATAACAATAGTATTTTTTATCATTTTTAGCATAAAAACAATGTTTAAAAAATAAGAACTGATTCAAAAAAAGTAAAAATAAAATTTTTCATTCGTCAATTTTTTGTGAATACAAAAACATATTTTCTACAAAATGATGCATGGATTTCAAAATCTAGCAATTTTTATTATAAATAAAAATTCAAAAGGGATGAAAATATTTTCTAACCCATTTCATTTCATTGCCTTTGAATTCCTCACAAAAAATTGCCATAAAAATAATTTGATGGAATATTTAAAGGGATGTTAAAGTCGATGCGATTTTTTCATTGAAGCTCAATGTAAAAATCCAATCGACTTTGACATACCCTTAAAATATTTTTTTGATATAGTTAAAAATAACGAAGGATATTACTAAATAAATACTAATCAAAAACAATAAATATCTTTTTAATTATTAAATTTAAAAGAAACTTGTTAAAAAACAGGAATCACAGTACCTTTTTTTAAAATGGGTGAAAAGGTGAATTATTTTCTAAAAATAGAAGACAAGAAAGCGACAAAAAAAATTACACAAAATTAAAAACTATTTTAATTAACTTTAAAAATTAAAATAAAATAAAATAGATCTAAACAAATTTTTCACTAATAAAAATTAGGAATAAAAAAATACTCAATTAACTGAAATTTAGATTCTTTGAAGTACGAGAAGCAAATTATGTTCAGAAATTTCAGAAAATTGAAATCAACAAAATTTATTCTTCTTTTCAGATTCAAATGTTGTTATAATAATATTAAGTCACGTTTGAAAAAAAAGTATAAAGTTTGAAAATGTTTCATTTATTTTCCTAAAGTTCTAAAAGTTCAAATGAAGAAAATTGTTTTTCTGTTTAAATATTTTTAAAAATTTACTAAAGGCAATGGAAAATAATGTAAATTAAACATTTTTATTTACTTAAGAAATTATTTTTTGTAATATACAACAGAATTCTTTTAATAAAATACAAATTTAATAAAGTAACAAAAATATTATCGTTATTTAAACGTTCTGATTTTTAAAAACGTTTTTTAAGTTAAGTTTTTAATTTTTATTAAAATCAATAATTTTTGAAAATATTTATGTCGGAAAAATATTTTGTGCATTTAAACATTTTAAACGTTAAAAATTTCCAGAAAATAGTAAGTTTACAATAACTAATAAATCTGTTTTTGGGACTTTTTTCTAAATATGATTTTTATACATAAAGTATCTACCTAATTCATAAAAATTACGTTTAAGAAAATAGAAAATTTGCAAAATTGTTCCTAAAATATGAACAAATAAAAAATTACATAAATCGAAGTTTAAAATGATTGTACTTGAGATTCATTAAGATTAAAATTTGAAATTTTCACTGTTTAAATTTTAAAATTAATTTTGGATGAATTGAAATTTAAGTCAAGTTTGAGCCTTATTAAAAATTAAATAAATTAAAAATCCTGATGAATTTAATTCAGAGTCAACTCAGATTGTACATGAAGAAAGTTCCAACCAATTAATATTAAGATATATATTATTTATTAAAAGATTTGTTTATTAAAATACAAATTAATTAAAAATTTTTGGAAACTAAACTTTCGATTAATGATATATTAATTAATGATTAATGATTAATTGATTAATGATTTATTGTGTTGATATTTGAAGAATTAAAAAATTTGTAAAATCAGTGAAAATTGACGAAATAGGTGGCAAAGTTTAAAATAGGCGGCAGTCTGTGATCCCTGAAAACATTGAAATGTAGGGGAGAAAATTTTCTTGTTGGGAAAAATAAAGAAGTTTATCATATCAAACCTGTAGAATTTGACTGGCCTCGAAAGCCGTTCCTGGTAAAAGAATAACGGGACTACTGACATGCCCACTTTCCACGCAAATCATATTTGGAAATTCATCGTCACCGAAATCAGGAATATCCCTTGCCTTCTCCTGCCATGGATTCCAAACGACAGTGTCGGGAAAATTATATTTTTGCACACGCATCTTTCTGCCCGATACAACATTAGTAATTATATGTTCCGGTTGTGTGTTCTGATAAATTCTATCCGTCCATTCGCAAACAGTCACCACGTCTCGGCCCTCTTGGAATACCTGATTGTCTCTCGTCTGTAAAGAAAACAAATTATTTAGTATAATAATTTTAGTTTTAATAAATTCAATTTTTTAAAAAATTTTCCAGAAGTAATCAAAATTATTCAACTAATGCAATCAATTAGAAGTAAATATTCAAATTAAAAGATGTGAAAAAAGCTTTCTTTTAGTATTTTTCCCTAAACAATTTTCCTAAAAAATAATTTTTATTGTTTCGGAATAAAAATGTTTAAATAGAAAAATTTAGGACAATTTTTTAGGCAATTTTTTTCCATTTTATTCAGTTATACCTATTGATTTTTTGTTTAATTAGCTATTTATAAATTTATAGATTAGATTTGTTTCTCCATTGTGCACTTAATACAAGTTTTACAATATTTGCCCCTCCAACTTAAAGTAACATATAAGTTATCAATGTTTAACAATATCATTAATAAATGAAATTAAAAAGAAGATACATAAAAATAGAACATTTCGCATATTGGCAGAGTTCGGTCTTCGGTCTGCTTTCTAGAGTCTTGATTACTCTCTCCATTTATTATTATTAACTATTTAGATTTCAAATACGAGAATTTAATTTCTAAATTTAAAACAATTTTTTTGAAATTTAATTATTTCTAAAAATTTATATTACACAACGTTTTTAATATTCAATTATTATCTAAAATAATTAACTGAAATTCAATGTTAAATCAATTTTTATTAGAAAATTCTACGAGAATTCAATTATTTAAATGCAAAATAAAAAATTCATTATTACTTAAAATTAAAATTTGTTATTAAAAAATTTTATAAAAATTATTAAAAATAATTGATTTCTTTCGGAGAATTTTACAAAAATTTTTTTAGATAATTGAAATATTTCGAGGAAAATTGATTTCTTGGGTAGAATTTTATTAAAATTTTTGACAATGTTTAAGTTTGTTCTTTCAAGGAATTAAATAAAAATTATATTGAAAATAATTAAATTCTTTTGAAAAATTTTATTAAATTATTTATTTTATTTGAAAATGAATGATTTATATTGAAAAATTTTCTTTAGAATAATTCTCAAGAAATTGAAATTCCTATGAAAATTTTAATTATGAAAATAATTGAATTTTTGCAAAAGATTTTATTAAAATTTCTTTTACATAATTGAATTCGTTTGTGAAATTTTATTAAAATAGTAAATATCGAAAATAATTGAATTTCAGAGAAGAATTTCATTGTTTGTGAAAATAATTGAATTCTTGTTAAAAATTTTCTTAACATTTTTAAAAATAATTGAATCGTTTTAAGGAATTCTATTAAAATTTTGAATTTTTTTTTATATCAACTATTAGCGGATTTAAAGTAGTGCCTATATTGAAAAAAATATACAAAAGGTTTTTAATGGGATTATGGGCTGAGACTTAAATAAATAAATAAATAAATAAATAAATAAATAAATAGGTGAGTGCGAAGCGTGAATTATAATTTTATTACATTAATAAAAATAATTCTTTCTACAACAGAAGAACTATAAAATTTTTAATTGCTTTAAAATTTTTAATGTTAGAATTTTTCGCTGATTGAGAATTATAATTATGAAAGAAGATTAAAAAATTCTAAAATTCTTAAAATTGCTTTTAGAAACTACTCTCTAAATCTGAATTAGTAATTTTCTACTAATTAGAGAGCACGGATTCGTTTATCAAATGAATAGGAAAGATTTGACAAATTTTGAATAGAAAATTACTAATTTAATAATAATGTCCACTAATAAATTAGTAGTTTCATATTAAAAATTAGTAAAATCTTTACTATTTAAATGCTAAGCGAATCTGCACTCTTTAATTAGTAGAAAACTACTTATTCAAATTTAGAGAGTATTTTTTTTTAGTTTTACAATATAAATTCGATTAACGAATCAAATTAATTTAAAGTAGGTAATTATGTTTAATAAGTAGTTTATAATATTGAATAAAAATTAAGTCCAAAAATCGTGAATTTAAATTGAAATTAAAGAAAATATGAACTTAATTATTTGTAAAATTGTTATTTCTTAATTGTAATTTTTAAAAATGTTATTTTCTCTTTCTATTTTTTCAGTTCATTACCTTATCGATAAATGTACAACCGTGAAGACCAGTGATTTGACACCTCCTAACATCGGGCACCTTGAAATACGTGTGCAACAGCAAATTAAAGCTAAATGTGTGATCCTTGCTTGGATTGTAGACGCCAATATTAAAATGCAATTCCTTTTCTCGTAGAATTAGCCTATACGTTAACCTGAAGGGATAATTCCACATCGATCGTGTAAATTCGTTGTCCATTAGTGAGAAAATTGCCTCAACATCGCCGCTTGGTAATCGTTCAGGCGATTTCTCCACATTCCATCGAATTATCCTCGCGAAACCATGTCCCGGACCAAATGTCCATGCTCCAAATTGTGCTACGAATGAAATTTCAATAAATATCACAATTACGAAAATACTATTTTTAATGTTTTATTTTAAATTTAAATTTTTAAACATTATTTTTACTGTAAATTTTTGTTAAGACAAATTATAATTCCATTTCATTTAGAAGAATTCACTTTAGGAGAATAAATAAATATTTGAAAGTAACAGAAAAGATCATTTTCTAATTTAAAATTTATAACTTATTTTTCTCAATTTGTTTAGTATACTTAAAATTTGAAAATTAAGAAAATGGAAAATAAAGTGCAAAAGGTAAAAGGTTAGAAAAAGAGATTATGATAATTGAAATTATTTTCCATTTGAAGGGAAAATAAGTGAGTAAAAAAAGGAAAGATAAATAAGTTTTGAGCGACGAAATGTTAAGATCATTGTGCTTATCGTTGGTGCTTCTACTCACGAAAGACAAATGGTATTCCGCCTCTAATGGGTTTCTTTCCGTCGAAGACTGCCTGCTTGCTGAAACAAAAACGAAAATTGTCCTTTAATCGGTTAAAGCAAAATTGTACCGTATTGATATTTAAACACATTTCCCTTTAATTTCCTTTAATTCCTTTTGATAATTCGCCAATATACGAGTTAGACTCGCTTAATATTAAAAAATTAATAATATTTACTAACCAGCTGTTAAATTATTTCAATTAAATTATTATATATATTTATTGTTTGGTTTTGGCGATTTAATTGCACAATGCAGGTACATATTATTAAAATTGCACTCTTTGGTAAAACTAAAATTTCTTTAAGGTAAGTGATAATTTTAGAAACTGACTATGATATATGTTAATTTATATCTCCTAACTGACACGAAAAAATTGAAAAAAAAAAATGTTGTGTGTAAGATATTGAGCTAAAAAAAGTGTGTCCGACAATTCCCCAATCTCCCTTATTAATTACCTATTTATATTTATGTAAATATAATAATCTACATTAATAAAATCAGAGTTTTGTCCGAACATTGACATATTTGATTCAAAAATGTTATCTAAGCTAAATGAAAGTTACGATTTTTTTTCAAAAAAATTCAAATAAAAAAATGAAAATTTTTTATTTTTAAATATTTAAAAAATTTTTTTTTTCGGTAAAAATATTGTTTAATCTTTAATATTAATAATCTTTGTATCCTGGCAAACTGTTTGCAGTTATTTATCGTTTGCCTTCTCGTTTCCTAAATTTTTTAATAATTGTTCTTTTTAACTGAAAATTTTATAAGTAGGGGAGACTGGGGTAAACCCGCGCACAGGGTAAACCCGCTCACTAGCGATTTGACGCTATGAACTCAACTTAAGATGGAAATATTGGTACTGTGAATAGTACTTAACATTCAACATATATTAACGATCTTTCGTTTAGTTTCATGAATTCAACATAGAATCAGAGACGATCAAATGTTTTTAGAGGTGTCAGAAAAAAAAACGTATTTTGGATTTTTAAGTTTTTCGATCATTATTTTTGAGTCTTAATTTATCTGGCAAATTTTTTTTGTTGCTTTTGGATGTCCTTCTTCGAAGTACATATATAGTTTTGTCTTATTTTAAAAAGATTTAATTAAATTTATTCTGAAATGTGAGGAATACACTCGGGGTAAAGTCGCTCACGTGAAGTCGGGGTAAAGCCGCTCACTTAGTTTTAAATTTAAAATTTAGAATAAAATAATTTTACGTATTATATTTCAACAATAACACAATTTATGACTTATTAAAACCAAAATTGTAACTACATTTCACTTTCTCTTAATAAAATATAACACTATTTAAATCCATAGTTGTAATTCATGAAATCTATGTTCATTATTTATTAAACCAATTTTTTGTTCATACAATTGTTTATATAACTCATAAATTATCAATAATAAATCATACTTAAAACGGGAATAAGACGAACTTTAATATTTAAAAAATAAAACTGTTCCGTCTTGAAAAGATAAAGTGAGCGGGTTTACCCTGGAAAATTGTGATTTCGAAATTTGGTATATGTTTATTAAAAAGTTTCTCTAAGTAAAACTAAAAAAGATAAATCATAAACTCTTTTTTATTTTTTTAGTAGAAATCTTAAGCTTTCAAATGATATAAATTAACTTGGATTTAGAGAATAATTTCCTAGATTTTAGCCGATCTGAAAAAAAGTGAGCGGGTTCACCCAGTCTCCCCTAATTGAATTTTATGAAGAAATTGAATTCTTTCAAAAAAATTTTTATTAAAAATTTGTTTAAAAATTTAATTTTTTAGTAAAATTCTATTAAAAATAATTGAATTCCTGAAAAGAATTTTACTACTTTAATTCTTCAATTAAATATATAATAGAAAATAAAAACTTCAAATAATTGGAAGAAGGAAATATCATAATTATATTAAATTGAAAAAAAATTCCATTAAACTTTTTCAAAAAAAGATTAATTCTACAGAATTGTCAGTAAAAATTTTTAAAAATTCAGATTTTCAAAGATTTTTATTTGAAACCTTTACAAAATTCAGTTATCATGCTTCTAATATTCAATTATTGTCTAAAATTATTAACTGAAATTCAATGTTAAATCAATTTTTATTAGAAAATTCTACGAGAATTCAATTATTTAAATACAAAAATAAATAATTTATTGAATAATTGAATATTTTTTAAAATTGAATTCTCATAAAGAATTTTATCAAGTAATTTTTAAATAATTGAATTTTTATTATGTATGAAAATAATTATAAATGCTTGCGTAGAATTTTACCAACAGTTTTTTTAAATAATAGAATTATTTTTGAAAATTGAGTTTCGAAAAAGAATAATTTTACTACTTTTGAAAATAATGGAAATTTTTACGAAAATTTAAAAAAAGTTTTGAACATAATTGAATTTCTATGAAGAATTTTATTACTTTGGAATATAATTTTGAATTATAAAAATTTAATTTTTTCCGTGAATTCCCTGACAGTTGGGTGTAATTAGAAATTCGAAAAATGTGAATATTTACGGGTTCGACAGGTACTTTTATTATAATTATATAATATTTTATTTGAATATGAATAGAACGACTTGAAAATGTATTGCAAATAAAATTGGTGATTGGACAATAGGTAGGGTTGAAACCAGTTGAAACAGTAGTGGGCAAAAAAGATGTTTCCTAATCTAAAACGTTACCGATCTCATTCATGATCACAGTCACGCTTCGTCTCAGAAAACTCATTTGTTCTTTCGTTAGCAACGGTACAACCAACCGAGCAGATAAGATCCAGAGAATACCTATAGAAATTGTAACGCCCGCGCCCGCGGCGGATGCAGGACTACCATTAGTCAAGCCTGTCATGGACCACTGAGAAACGTCCTTAAAGAAAGAGTCGAAGGAACATTTCAAATCCAAAGAGACAGAGAGAGGAATAGAAGGGCTCACACAAAATTCCACTGACTACTTCACTTACGTATAATATAGAAATTTCTCTATATAAATTAAATTCAAAATCTCTTTGAAAAATTCTCGTATGTTTTTTTTTTATTTTTTGTTCTACATCTTCTGTATTTTCATCTTCGCGTTAAGTTGGTCAACAACTTTTTTGAAAAATACTTGTATAAAATAATTTGAAAAAAATAAAAATTATAATATAAACATTTTTTACAAACTTGAGAATCTTGAGATTATTAATAGCTACATCAGATTCAATTTTTTCGAATTTTCTAAATTTTTTGACAAAATTTTTATTTTTTATCATTTTTATCATTTTATCTTAATTTTTTTGCAAATTTTTCTTATTATTTTCAGAAAAATTTCTTACTTTTTCCCCTTATTCCAATAACAACTTCAATTCTCAGTTTTTGTAAAATTGAAATATTTTCGCAAATAAATTTGAAACGTTTAACATTTTTCTACAAAAAACACTATTATGTACTACACACGGAGAGAAAATATATATTAAATTTTGTAAAATTATTTTATAATTTGGGGAAAAAGTGCCACAAACCGAAATTTTGACATAGAAAATACTAAATAGTGAAAGAAATAATATGAAATTTAGTAAAGTTATATTAAAATTTAAGGGGGGAGATACCTTTAGATCGAGATTTTGTTGACGTTTTTTATGAATTTTTTTCGCTAAGTAGAAGTGTATATATCTTTTCAAAAATTTTCAGTCGTTTTGTACACATATTAAACTAAATTCACAAATTTTTTAAAATAATTTTATTGAAAAATGAATCAAATAAATAAGGTTAAAGTATATATGGTGAAAATTCCATCTCCATCTTGTGTACACTCCTGTGGTCACAGTTTTTATCTGAAATCAACCAGGTTTGATTATTTACTTTTAAAACATATCTCTCTTCTACATGAACCTCGAATTAGCCAAAAAAATTGAAAATTGATTTTTTCACAGACATTTGAACTCATAGTGGCGGTTTTTGACCTTTTTTTAAATTTTTCTTTGCATTAAAAAAACATTGTAAGTAATTTTTTTTAATAATTTTTGAGGTTCACATAGAAGAGAGATATGTTTTGAAAGTAAATAATCAAACCTGGTTGATTTCAGATAAAAAATTGTGACCACAGGAGTGTACACAAGATGTAGATGGAATTTTAACCATATATACACTTTAACCTTATTTATTTGATTCATTTTTAAATAAAATTATTTTAAAAAATTTGTGAATTTAGTTTAATATGTGTACAAAACGACTAAAAATTTTTGAGAAGATATATACACTTCTACTTAGCGAAAAAAAATTCATAAAAATCATCAACAAAATCTCGATCTAAAGATTGAAAACCCCCCTTAACTAAAATTCTTATATTTGATATAACTTTACTAAATTTCATATTATTTCTTTCACTATTTAGTATTTTCTATGTCAAAATTTCGGTTTGTGGCACTTTTTCCCCAAATTGGGAAATTCTTTTACAAAATTTAATATAACTTTCTCCCCAGGAGGAAAAGTCGGACGAATGTCGGAGTTTACAACCGCCTGGGATCCGCGCCCGTGCGGACCGCCAGTACCGATGTTTTGTACCGATTCGGATCCCAAAATTCAACCGGCGCGGAACAGATTAGGCTCAGAATTTTGGATCCGCCTTTCTACTTTCGTCAGTACTGGCGTGGTACTGGATTTGTTTCGTCTGCGGATTTCATTCTTCTACGGGCGTCGGAAGAATGACGGATGTTAGGTCTGTACTGGCTCGGTGCTGGGGCGGATCCGACTGCGGATCTCGTCATTTATTGTTATAGTTTACATTATCAGTATAATCATAAATTTATTTTATTATATATATCATAGCTAATTAATTATTACAATAACTAATTGCATTTATTATAATAATATTATTATTATTATTATTATTATTTAACCAATAAATAAATTAATTGTATTGATGCAAAGGAAGAATATAAGAAACTTAATTTTTTCATTATATTTATAAAAATCCAACTTTATTAATGTGCAATTAAATAAATAATTTTTAATAAATAATAATATTAACTTGAAAGAAA